CCACATCAGCACCACAGCCAACGATGTTCTCACCGGTATTTGATAGCCACGTCAACAACAATGCGCCACATAAGCAATGTTGCCGTCTTCAGTCCACGTCATTATCTTCAGGGGGGGATAAGTGAGTGCGCGCGTCAATCGATGTCTAGCGATGATAATCGTGCACGTCTATAGATGCGTTTCAATCACCGCGCGGCACTTCCCCCCACTTACCTGGGCGCACACTGGCGCACAACAGCAGATCGGGACAAAGAATGTAAGCTCCGATACCAAATTGTAATGAACTCAGTCTGGAGGAACACTCGTCAAGTGTCGAAGTACAAGATATCTCAGCGCTGAATAATGTCTCCAATAATCATGAAATGTGCTCCGTGATACAATGTCTCCTAACCAGTGGACGAAGGAGAGGTGGGGGAGGATAGACTTAGAGGGTGGAAGAGTAAGTATCCATCAATGACCACATAGATAGTAGCCCCTCGATTCCTTCTCCTTCTCCTTGTCCGGGCCTCCTCCTCGCCTCCACGTCAGCAAACAGTGTCCAAGAAACGAGTCTGACAGGGCCTGATCACATCAGAGTGCCACGTGGCACAGTTCTCCCATGAAGACGTCACAACAGCACGCAATGTCGACACTGACATCAGGTAAGTATCCTTTCTCTCTCAATCAATCCACAGATCCCGATCTCCCTCCTTGTCGCGCCCAACTCAGCAATATAGACAGTGTGGCAATGCCGCGTCAGCAATGTAGACAGGTGGCATACGCCACATCAGCAATGTAGACAGGTGGCATGTGCCACGTCAGCAATATCGAAGACAGCATGGCATGCACCATGTCAGCAAGCAAGAAGACAGCTGGCGCCAGAGCAGAGAGGCGCCAGCACACGTGCAGCAGTCTCACGTCGTCGTCACAAGGTGCCAGCGTCCAGCCATCGTCAAGCCAGCATCGCACCAGCGTCGAGCCAGCATCAAGCCAGCGTCAAGTCAGCATAGCCAGACTGAATGTTGACTCCCCGAGGCAGGGGCCTTAAGTAGCGTTGATGACGTTGACCTGCCTCCGGTCTTCCAGCCACGGTGGATCAGATTGACTCACAGCCGACGGCCTGGATCTGGTACAGTTACAAACTTCCACTTGGTCTGAATGCTGTCTGGATACCTGCATACAAACAAGTGTGTGTCTGACCGGCAGCCTGGGCTGGGTCCATGCAGACTTTGACTGGAGGGCCTCGTACAGTTGACTTTCGGTCAGCTGTCGGGCGCAGGGCCCCTGAACTCAACATTTGGGGTCCCGCCTCTTGGCGATGCGGCCCAAGGCCGATGTTGGCCTGTGAGTGGCCCTTAGACAGTCAACTAGGCATATTGAAGCGGGTTATTGCACAAAACCAAAAAAAAAAAGATAAGACAAGGCAAAGGACAACGTCAAAGACAAGGCAAAATATGAGGCCAAAGACAAGACAAGAAAAAAAAAAAAAAAAAAAAAAATAACCAAAAAAAAAAAAAAAAAAAAAAAAAAAAAAAAAAAAAAAAAAAAAAGAAGAAAGATAACCAATCCGGCAGATTCCCCATCAGGGTATTACTTCTCATGCAGAATGCGGAGATCAGAATCAAGGCTTCAAGCTATTGACTATAATCTGACTTTTTTTCATCCTCACCAGCACATCCACATGTTGCACATGTGTCAGCTATCTCAAGTTTCTAAGGATATGTAATGACCCGCCAAAACGCAGACTGAGAACACTGCTAATTTCTGGGATTTGCCTCTGGAATGTATGCCTTGCTGAGATTCCCACATTCTGCTGTGATTTCTAAGTCAGTGTGTGTGCGTGCCTGCTGGTCTGCGTGCCAGTCTGAGTGCTTGTCGGCCTGAGTGTGTGTGTGACCCGCAAGGGTACTTGTTGGTTTGGAGGACCTGCAGGGCCGGTACTTACCAGTGGCCGTGACTTTGAGGGTTGCAGCGGGAAAAACACTCAAGTAGCGGGTGTAGGCCCGCAACACTTGAAGCGGGGAAAACACTCAAGTACCAGGTAGGCCAGTACCACTCAAGTAGTGGTAGGAAGTGTCGCGTACTCGAGGCCGAGCAGAAGAAGACAAAAAGTGGCATTTTTAGAGGCCCGGTAGAATCGCCATTAAGAAAAGCACCTTAAGAAAGGTCAGAGTGGTGAAGAATGAAGATTTTACGATATTTGAGCCACTGACAGCCATTCGGGATCTGGAAATCGATCCAGCAGAGTGGGCATGGAACATCAAGGGAAGCTTATCAAGAGTACCCAGGAAATTTAATATACTCCAGTACACCACTAAATTGGGCTATCGTCTGAGGGGGAGATCATGCCATTTGAATCACATTTTGTCGATAAGATGGGAGAAGAGAGTGGATATATCAAGGGAACAGGTAGAAAGGTTACCATGGTCATCTTTGCACAGTATCAGATCGGCCAAGGTCAGGAGCATGCAGTGGCTCATCTTTCATGTAGCACTCCCAGTCAACGTCGGGCTGTTCGATAAGCGAAACAGGCTCAATAGGAATGACGCAGATCAAGACTGTGTTATGTGTAAGGGAGGCGTTAAGGAAACACTGGTCCATTGCTTGCTCCATTGCCCGGAGGCAGAACATCTCTGGTCCCTAGCTCGTTCATTATGGACACACACTACGGAGGTCCCCTTCCCGAGAAACAGAAAACTAATATTGATAAAGGGATGGCGGACAGGACACAAAATTATCTTTCAGCTTCTGAGACAGTACACTTTATGGACAATCTGGAAACGAAGATGTCAGCAGGTGGTGGGCAAGATTCCGATGACTAGAATGGAAGCTAAGGCAATTCTCTATAGCCTATTGGAGACAGAGGTTAGGGCATTATGGAGAAGGACAACGAAGCAAGTGGCTCTCAACCCAGAAAGGGCAAAGGATACCTTAACCAAATTTCAGAAATCGGTACTAGCC